GTTGACTATTTGCCATGTATTTTCTGACATCCATTGCTTGCGGTTTTGTTGGAGATAACCGACAGTTTCTTCACATGATTGAACAATAGAATCTCTGGTCATTTCCCATGCTTAGTTGATGTTAGATTTGTCATCATGTAGGTTTTCAAGTACACTAAATTTGTTTTAAAGCAGAATTTGATAGTCTTGAACAACTGTAGGTTCTTTGAATAAATTAACATTAAATTTCTTTCTTCTAGACTTTGTTTTGTTTTTTGAAAGTAGTTTTAGTTGTATTTTTGCAATGATTAGGTGGTGACCTGATGCTATATCAACTCCTCCCTTGTTTCGCACATCTTGTAGAGTGACCTCCATCTTAGTGATATAGCGATATGGTCTATTTGATTTTCTGTCACTTTATTTGGCGAAACCCAAGTAACTTTGTGACAGTTTTTATGGGGGAAAAGTGTACCACCTATTAATAGACTGTTTACAGCACAGACATCAGCAAATATTTCACCGTTCTCATTCATTTCACCAAATTCATTTACCTTTGATGAATATTATTGAAGCGAGACATATCTAAGCTAATCTGGCTGCAGCAAATTAGACAGTTTATTTCTTACGCTTAAATCTAATATAAATAACTAGAGGCTCTAAGGAGCCTGTGTTGTTTACCTAGGTCTACAGCTCCTTCAACAATGAACTCTTTCCAGCATTGCGGACTAGAATATAAATCATTAAAAAAATATTTTTTGTTTTGCTTATCTTGTATTGGTGATATTTTTTTCTGTCTAAAGTTTTTCTGTATTTTCTTTAGTTTTTGCCCAAATCCTAAAGAGTAAACGAACAATTTTGGCAAACATTTTACCTATTTTTAAATTTGTTTTTGCTTATCTTTTTTGCTATTTAAGTGTCTATCTTGTGTAGTTTTCAATATAGTAGGCAAAAACGTAAAAATGTCAATAAAGAGCAAATACTACTATAAGGAGTCATCTATTGATTTCGGCTATTAAACTTTGTCTCATTATTTAAGTTTCTATCTATCTATCTATCTATAATGGTAGTTCAGATATTAAGCAAAAATTTTAAAAAATGATAGAAATCGTCATCAAAGGGAAATAACTCGAATAAGGAGTTGTCTGACGATTTCGACCATGTGCACTTCTGTGAAGATCTTGTCTTGTGATAATTTTTGGTGTATAACGTTTCTTTCTATCTATTGTAGTTTTTCAGATATTTGGCAAACACGGAAAAAATAGGCAAAATAAGTTATTTGAGTCAATAACTTCTATAAGCAGTCGTCTGACAGTTTTGAAATCCAGATATATTGTAGATCCCATCATTCTGAACATTTTTAATTAAGATCGATTTTCTCAATTCATAGCGGTTTTCCTGATTATTGAAAAACTTCCATTTTAACCAATGTTCTATTTTTAACCATGTCGGACATGTTGAATGGCAAACGGGGTCATTGGATATTTTTGTTTTTAAAACCAGTTACCCTAATGATGATTTTGGCCAAGTTTGGTAAAATTTGGCCCATTAGTTTCAGAGGAGAAGATTTTGGTAAAAAGTTAATGACGACGACGATGGACGACAACGACGGAAGCCAAGTAATAAGAAAAAACTCACTTTGCCTTTTAGGTCAGGCGAGCTTAAATATGGAGCCTCAGCTGGCATAATTTAATGTCCTTGATGGTCTATACACATCTATTTGTGGCATTCCTATGGAAACGAACTGTGGGCCTCTCCTTGCCGACCTCTTCTTAATTTCATATGAATCGGAGTTCCTGCAGACACTTGTCAAAACAAGAAGATCAAAGACGCCAGGTCATTTAATTTCACATTCAGATATATTGATGATGTTCTTTCTAATAACAATTCAAATTTTTCTTATTGGGTTCCATTGACATATCCCCCAGAACTAGAAATTAAACAAACAACAGACTTCCTCTATCTCATTTTTAGACTTATACCTCAAATTTGACATGCACAGTCATCTCAGTACCAGAATTTATGACAAACGAAACAATTTTTATTTTAAAATTATCAATTTGCCCCACCTTAGTAGCAATATACCAACTTCACCTGGATATGGGATAAACATTTCCCAACTTATTCGGTACTCAAGAGCATGCAGAAATTACTCAGACTTTGTAAAACGTCACCAGTGTCTGAGCAGAGAGTTGATTAACCAGGACTATGTCAAAGAACGTCTCGTCCTTTTTTCTAAACAAAGTTCATCTGAAAGTACCAACTTCACAAATAATACACGATGGTATATTGCAGTATAGAATCTGGGTACTGACGTTGTTTATCATCTTAAAACGTGTTATAGTATTCTTTTATTTGTCTTTATGAATATTACTTTTGCTGTTTAGTCTGTTCTTGTGGTGGTATCCATTTGGCGTGGCTATGTACTTAAACATCCCGTCATTGTTCTATGATAATTTTTGTAATCGAGTCTTTCATTTTTGCTAATATGCTTTTACTGTATGCCTTTTTTGTGTTTCTTGGTTACATATGACGTGGCTCTGTACTTATACATCCCGTCATTGTGTTACTGTTCTATGATAATTTATGTATTCTTGTCTTTCGTTTTTGCTAATTTTCATTGTCGGTGTGCCTTTTTGTTTTTCTTTCTTGCCTGTGACGTGGCTCTGTACTTATATGTCCCGTTATTGTGTCATGGTAAATGTTTGTTTATACATCTGTTTGTTTTTATAGTAATTAAGATAATAACACAACATTGACTCCTGTATCCCTATTTTTGACTTTTTTACCTATTATGTATGCATGTTTTGTTTACGCATCGTTGTCAATGTAATGAAATTTTATACGACTATCATACAAGAGAGAGGTTTAGCTAGCTATAAAACCAGGTTTAATCCACCATTTTCTACCTAAGAAAAAGCTGTACCAAGTTAGGAATATGACAGTTGTTATCCATTCGTTTGATGTGTCTGAGCTTTTGGTTTTGCCATTTGATTAGGGACTTTCCGTTTTGAATTTTCCTCGGAGTTCAGTATTTTTGTGATTTTACTTTTAGTTATGTGTTATTTGTACATGTTGGTCTGCAAAGAATCATCTGACCTTGACCCTATTTTTCCGAATATGAGGTGATGTGTAAACTACAATAAGACAACAACCAAGCAACACAAATAATAAAAAAAAAACCTGGAGATTAGTCAACAATAGACAAGTGTCTCATAACGTGGTGAATAAACCTTCCATCAAATTACCAAAAAAATGAAAATAATATAATTTATGATAACCACTGACTAGAATTTATAATTGTGACAGGCACATGTGGCTGGGATTAACTAGGCTAAAACATACAGTAATAAGCTATTGAGTATTGCGTATGTGCTCTGTTGCACTGCAACATTCCATATTAAAATACGCTCCTTTAAAAACAAGAGTGCACACGCTGAAATGTCTCGCCTTCTTTACTGACCATTGATATTAGTATACAGCTTTACTACAACTATCACATAAACTTAACATGATCCAAGAAAATGATGTCAAGGTCAGATAAATCAAACGAGAAATACATGAACACCTCACAAGCATTCAATACACTAAATATAGTTGACTTATTGCTTATAGTTTCTAAGAAACAGACTTAAGAAAATAAAACAAATTGACCAATGAACCATGAAAATGAGGACAAGGTCAGATGAACCATGCCATACAGACATGCACACCTTACAATTAATCTATGCATTAAATATAGTTGACCTATTGATTATAGTATCTAAGAAACAAACTTAACCATGAAAACTTAACATTGACCAATGAACCACCAAAATGAGGTCAAGGTCAGATGGTCCCTGCCAGACAGACTTTGCTTACAATCCTTCCATACAACACATATAGTTGACCTATTGCTTAAAGTTTAAGAAAAACAGACCAAATCATAAAAAAATCTAACACTGAGCAATAAACCATTAAAATGAGGTCAAGGTAAAATAAAACCTGCGAGACTGACATGTGACAGCTGCCAGTTGGACATGTACACCTTACAATCATTCCATACACCAAATATAGTAGACCTCTTGCATACAGTATAAGAAAAACTGACCAAAACACAAATACTTAACTATAACCACTGAACCATGGAAACGAGGTCATATTCAGATGACACCTGCCAGTTGGACATGTACACCTTACAATCCTTCCATACACCTAAGTTGCTAGACCTATTGCTTAAAATATCAGAGATACTACTAAAACTTAACCTTCACTGACCTATGTAATGAGGTCGAGGTCAAGTGGAAACTGTCTGACGGGCATGAGGACCTTACAATCTACACACATACCAAATACAGTTATCCTATTTCTCATAATAAGAGAGAAATTAACATTACAAAAAATCTTCACTTTTTTTCAAGTAGTCACTGAACCATGAAAATGAGGTCAAGGACAAATGTCATATGACAGACAGAAACTTCGTAACATAAGGCATCTATATACAAAGTATGAAGCATCCAGGTCCTCCACCTTCTCAAATATAAAGCTTTTAAGAAGTTAGCTAACGCCGCCGCCACCGCCGCCGCATGATCACTATCCCTATGTCGAGCTTTCTGCGACAAAAGTCGCAGGCTCGACAAAAAATCGAAATATCCACCTTCTACGCTACTTTGAGTATCAAACACTCTCACAAAGGCATATTTGAAAAAAATCCTATATGGTCCAAAGTACTCATACTCATACGGTCCGGCCCGTAAAAAATCAAACGAGTATATACTCAGATGGTCAGACCATACGTGTACGGTCGGGCCATATTAGTATACGCATATGGTCATGACCATACGCGTATGGTCCAAATACTCATATGGTCAGGAACAAAGACACAGTAAATAAAATGTAATTAACATTAGAAACTATCGGATTTAATTTCTACATCTAATGTGTTTATTGTTGGTACCATAAACTTTAAGTGAAGATTACAGGAATGAAGTTGAATATGAAAAATAACTTCTAATAATTCAATTAGAAAAAGACTCAAGACAATGTTATTAAAGAAGAGATAATTTTATCAATTGCAAACAGGTTGTAGAACATCTATTGGTATAAATAATACAGAAATGCAAACAATCTATTTCAGTTATAACTAAATAATGGTTTGTATATTTGTAAAGATATTGATGATAATATTATATACAATAGGATTATATATAATTTAGCTTTTTTTCAGAACCAACTGCAAATTTGACACGAAAAAGCTCTGCACAGACAACATTTTTTTTTAAAACAAACCATGTTATGTTATAATCATATTGCATTGAACATTTTGCAAATTCTAATACCCTTCACAACACTGTTCATGAGTTTACAATTTAGAAATTGTGTAACAAAAAAGGATGTATTTACAATGGTACATCTTTAATAAAAACAACACATCTTCAAACAACAACATCATATCTGTGAACAACAACAACACACGATTTAACAACAACACGTCTGTTAGAAACAATAGCATATCTTGCACCAAATTCATATATTTTCAAAAAAGGGGCATATTTTTAAAACAATAATGGTACAATAAAAACAGCATATTTTTTGCAAAAATTATAGCAATTCTTTTAAATAACAGCATCACATTTTTTAACAACATCACTGCTTCTTTCAACGACATCTGAACATCTTTCAATAACGAAAATGTATCTTTTCGAAACAATATTACATTTTGTTACACATATACAACAACATATTTCTACAAAGCAGCACACATCTAAACAACAACAGTACTGTTCTAATCAACCACCGTACAGCTTTTAACAACGCGACTCTCAACAACAACAGACAATCTTTATGCAACAAGTATTTCAACAAGTTTACGGACATTTTTCCTCACCATAACATATTTCAAAAACACCATCCAAATTATAGTGACAAAATGCATTTTTACAACAATAACATCCTACTTTATCATGTCAGAATACTTCTTTAATACGCAATAGTATCGTTTCGCTAAGAAAGAAGTAAAATAATGCTTCAAATTTAAAAAAAATACATTTTTACAATTGATTCATTGTTTGACCTTCAAATTCACAGCTACTAGCGTCATTAAAGGGTCTAATGTAAAAAAGCGCGTCTGGAGTACAACATTTCAACATTATTGGAATGTTGATTTTATCATGGTGACTATTGAATTGTGATCATTTCTGGAAGCAAGCAATACAGGTGACTGGCCATTATCGTCACATTTATTTAAGTCTACTCCTCTGTCTAGCAGCATCTGTACTATTTCTCTTTGGCCATGTTTACAAGCCGCCATTATAGGCGACTGACCACTCCTATTACATTTATTACAGTCTACTTCTCTGTCTAATAACATCTTTACTATTTCTGTATGACCATGTTCACAAGCCTTCATTACAGGTGTACGGCCCGCCCAGTCCCACGTATTACAATCTCCTCCCATGTCTAACAACATTTTTACTATTTCTGTATGACCATGTTCACAAGCCTTCATTACAGGTGACTGATCCTCATTATCACATTCATTATAGTCTGCTCCTCTGTCTAACAACATCTTTACTATCTCTGTATGACCATGTTCACAAGCCTTCATTACCGGTGACTGACCCTCATTATCACATTGATTATAGTCTGCTCCTCTGTCTAACAACATTTTTATTATTTCTGTATGACCATGTTCACAGGATATCAGTACAGGTGACTGACCCTCCTCATCACATTTATTACAGTCTGCACCTCTGTCTAACAACGTCTTTATTATTTCTGTATGACCATGTCCACAAGTCTTCATTACAGGTGACTGACCCTCATTATCACACTCATTATAGTCTGCTCCTCTGTCTAACAACATCTTTACTATTTCTGTATGACCATGTTCACAAGCCTTCATTACAGGTGACTGCTGTAGGTAGTCACATTCATTATAGTCTGCTCCTCTGTCTAACAACATCTTTACTATTTCTGTATGACCATGTTCACAAGCCTTCATTACCGGTGACTGACCCTCATTATCACATTCATTATAGTCTGCTCTTCTGTCTAACAACATCTTTACTATTTCTGTATGACCATGTTCATAAACCTTCATTACAGGTGACTGACCCTCATCATCACATTTATTATAGTCCGCTCCTCTGTCTAACAACGTCTTTACAATTTCTGTATGAACATGTTCACAAACCTTCCTTTCTGATGACTGACCAAAAATGTCACATTTATTATAGTCTGCTCCTCTGTCTTACAACATCTTTACTATTTCTGTATGACCATGTTCACAAGCCTTCATTTCAGGTGACTGACCCTCATTATCACATTTATTATAGTCTGCTCCTCTGTCTAACAACATCTTTACTATTTCTGTATGACCATGTTCACAAGCCTTCATTACAGGTGACTGCCCATAGTGGCCACATTTATTATAGTCTGCTCCTCTGTCTAACAACATCTTTACTATTTCTGTATGACCATGTTCACAAGCCTTCATTACAGGTGACCGCCCAAAGTAGTCACATTGATAATAGTATGCCCCTCTGTCTAACAACATCTTTACTATTTCTGTATGACCATGTTCACAAGCCGTCTTTACAGGTGACTGACCCCAAAAGTTACATTTATTATAGTCTGCTCTTCTGTCTAACAACATCTTTACTATTTCTGTATGACCATGTTCACAAGCCTTCATTACAGGTGATTCCTGAGAGTAGTCACACTGATTATAGTCTGCTCCTCTGTCTAACAACATCTTTACTATTTCTGTATGACCATGTCCACAAGTCTTCATTACAGGTGACTGACCCTCATTATCACATTCATTATAGTCTGCTCCTCTGTCTAACAACATCTTCACTATTGCTGTATGACCAAGTTTACAGGCAATCAATAGAGGTGACTGACACTGTTTTTTACTTTTATTATAGTCTGCTCCTCTGTCTAACAACATCTTCACTATTTCTGTATGACAATATTCACAAGCCTTCGTTACAAGTGACTGACGATTCCCGTCACATGTTTTATAGTTTATTCCTCGGTCTAACAACATCTTTACTATTTCTGTATGACCATGTTCATACGCTTTCATTACAGGTGACTGACCCTCATTATCACATTCATTATAGTCTGCTCCTCTGTCTAACAACATTTTAACTGTTGTTTTATGACCATGTTTACAAGCCATCATTACAGGTGACTGACCATCTTCATCACATTTATTAAAGTCTGCTCCTCTGTCAAAACACATCTTTACTTTTTCTGTATGACCATGTTTACAACCCATCATTACAGGTGACTGACCCTCTCTATCAAATTTATCATAGTCTGCTCCTTTGTCTAACAACATATTCACTATTTCTGTATAACCATGTTCACAAGCTTTTATTACAGGTGACTGACCATCTTCATCACATTTATTATAGTCTGCTCCTCTGTCTAACAACGTTTTAACTATTTTTGTATGACCATGTTTGCAAGCCTTCATGAGAGGTGACTGACCCTTCCTATCACATTTATTAAAGTCTGCTCCTCTATCTAGCAAAATATTCACTGTTTCTATATGACCATTTTTACAAGCCTTCATTACAGCTGACTGACCACTCTCATAACATTTATTACAGTCTGCTCCTCTGTCTGACAACATTTTTACTATTTCTGTGTGACCATGTTCACAAGCACACATTAAAGGTGAACGACCACTCTTATCACATTTATTAAAATTTGCTCCTCTTTCTAACAAAATGTTTACTATTTCTGAATTGCCATGTTTACAAGCAAACATTACAGGTGACTGACCTTTCCGTCCGTCACATTTATTGCAATCTGCTCCTCTGTCTAATAACAACTTAACAATTTCTTTATGTCCATGTTCACAAGCCTTCATAACAGGTGACTGACCCCTGCTGTCACATCTATAAAAGTCTGCTCCTCCGTCTAACAACATGTTCACTAGTTCTGTATGACCATATTCACAAGCAATAATTACAGGTGACTGATTAATATATGTACACCGATTTACATCAACACCATTAGTGCAACACCACTTGACTAAAGAAACATCTCCTAAGTAACAACAATGTAATAAAGCAGTATCATACCAATTGTCATCATTATCATCAAACCATTGGAAAAGAGTTTTAGTACCAAGTGAACGAAAATCACTGGTATGTGCCAGTTTGCATTGGTAAGATTTATCCAGTTTTAGCAAATAGCCACAAAACTTTTGTCTAAACTGAGGTATCTTCATATTAATATTACTAAAAACATCTTGTACTTTCCCCTTCGACCAATCAGTAATTATTCTCTGTATGTACATCTGATGATACTCCGCAGGTATGATAGTAATGAACTGATCCATGGCATCGATTCTACATATCAAAAATCTTTCCTTGATCAACCCGGAGTCTGCATTTTTTATTAAGTAACTGATCATTTTCTGTCCAAAGAAGTAAGCTAGAAAATCAAAAAGTTTACCATGTATAGTCTTGTAAACGTTATCTTCTTTGATTATGAATGTATTTGTAAGGTAGTTAAGTTCATCTTGTAATACAAGTCTTGATGTTCCCCTGTCTAATCTACATGCCTCAAATGTGTTCTCAATAATAGTCCTGGTTTCTTCATTTACCTCTTTCGTCAATATTTCTTCCTGTAACTTGTTGTTAAACATGACACATAAAGCCAAGATACAGTATTTAGCGTGATACCCTTTTTCATAAAACTTATCAACCTCTGTTTTATAAACTGTAAATGGATTACTGAAGAAATCTGTGACATCACGTTTCGGATTATCACTGTACAATTTACATAAAAGAGGAAAACAATCATGTAAATCATAGTAGGCTGTAATCTCCGATGCTTCTGTCTTAAGATATAACTCTGCTAAAGATTGTTTTTCGGTTTTTGACAAACGCATGTTCTCTGATAGCAGGTTACACACACATGACTTGAAAACTGATAAAGATTTAAACTTTTCATCTTGGTACACTTGTAACCGACATGCTGCAAGTATTTTTGTTTGTTTTTTGTCTAGAATATTTTGTATAATCTCCATGACTGGGTCCCATTTTTTAATGTCACTTTGTTCAACAGAATAGTTTCCACATAAATCATCAAAAACGTACAGTGTTTTCTTTTTTGGATTGTTGTAATTGGCAATTTCACTTGGTTCTGTCACCATAAGTACATCATATCCTTCTCCTACCATTTGTATAGCCACGTGTCGGAGTGTTGCTGTCTTTCCTACACCAGAACTACCTGTAATAGTTACACAACTGTTTTCCTTTATACATTGGAGTATATGGTCAGCAGCTCTCGTCTTGATAAACATCTGGTCATTGTCCTTCCAGGTTTTGAGTTTTTGCTCAATTCTCGCTGAAACATAAATTTAAGAATATTAAAACATAGATATACTAGTTCAACATGTCATCTAGGTAAATTAAACCCATAAAATAAATGATCACTTGATCAATTTGTCTACACTTCTGAGAATTTAATCGTATTTTCGTTATCTATGATCCTCTTTGGTGACATCCGGAGATAAATTTTTATTTTTGGTTATTCTAATTCTTGTCACAATTATTGTTGAAATGTTGTCAGCCTGCATGAACGCGTTGACGAGGACATTGAAATACGGGGGTCCGTCCGCTCTTGTTAGCGCTCTAACGTGTCCAGTACTTGCCAGATTTTTATGAAACTTATTTATATAATGTTTGTGATATATCTCACTGAGACAGCAAATCAAAACATAAACACATTTCCAGCTAAAAAAAGGCTTCCATATATGTCATAAAAGCTCTAAGTCTTTAACAGTTAACAAGAATAACACGTGTGTCGATTTGAAAAATAAAATTCAACTGTCAGTACGGTATTTGCAATGATCGACGAAAAGAAGGCTTCTTATCTTGTTTGAAATGCTGAAATGAATAACAGGTTACCGAATACTTTTGCTCCTACAAAAAATTGATGTTGTTATGGTTTTCCCGTTTGAATGGTTTTACACCAATAATTTTTTGGGGCCCTTTAAAGCTTGCTGTTCGGTGTGAGTATAGGCTCCGTGTTGAAAACCGTACTTTGACCTATAATGGTTTACTTTTATTAATTGTGCCTTGGATGGAGAGTTATCTCATTGGCACTCATACCACATCTTCCTATATCTAAATACCAACACAAACACATGGTCTTAACTTGATACAGGTAAACAAGTAGTGGGTTTAATCAGTTTAACATTTTCTATGTCTGCACAAAAATGATAATGGTTCTTAATCAATTTCGACCGAAGTGTTTTATCTTGATAGACTATCATCAGATTACACTGCATCCCCAAATCTGAAATCCAAGAATGTATAAATACCTGAATAATTGAGGACCATACGACCGAAAGGAACTTCAGAGGAAAAGCCAAATTCATTCAAGGTCATCTTTGTCTGAAGGGGTTGGAACCTAAGATTTCTAGCGTAATCAACAGATAATTATAGAAAAGTATGTGATAAATCATTCTTATATCTTATACCGAGGCAATAACTACTAAGTTTATGATACCCTCGATGACAAACATTTCACGGCAAAGTGCTATGAAATGAAAATACTTTATAAATTTGGGAATCCAAACCTTTTCTTTTATGAACGTTTTCAAAAGATCAAACAAAACTATAAAATGATCTTGGTTAAATTAAACCTGTCAAATTAATATAGGAAAGAAGATGTGGTATCAAAAGAGAACAAATGACACAGAAATTAACAACTATAGGTCACCGTACGGCCTTCAAAAATGAGCAAATCCCATATCGCGATGCCAAGATACAGGTTGTAGATACATGAAAGTGAATATCTATATAACAATACATGTAATACTTAATGCTTTTAATTTACTGATACCAAAATAAATATTAATACCCCAATACAATATTCAAAGATCTAATTACAGTGTTGAATTGATAACCTTTTAGAATGAGTTTATTTAGAGGATCGATAAGTTTACCAAGATCGTTTCTAGCTTTCCAGGCACGGTGAACAACACAAAATTCGAGAAATGTCTTTTGTTAATGCATAAAAAGTCAAAAAATTAAGGAAGGAGGACAATGAAATTTTGCAGATTTTCCAAATTGTTTCCTCAAATCAAATATGAGTTTTTTTTAAATAAATGATAATTTCTGAGAATCATAATTTTTGCTAGGATTTAATTGCTATTAGGAAATGATTCTCTGTGTCAAAAATGGTTGCCAACGATTTACGAAAATTTCAATTAAAATACATAGCGTTTGGATTTTTACAAAACATATATTAACATTTCGATTATATTCATCAGTCTTTTTAAATCACACAAATATGTACAAGAAAGCCATTGCTGATAGTTGGTGGAGTATTCAAAGTACTAGAAGAGAACAAACAACCTTCTGCAGGAAAAGTAGCAACCAAAGTTAATAAGAATCGGAGTCAAAAGAACCGTGTCATAAGTAGGCTTTGAATTCACAATTTTAGAGATGACAGGCTAGTGAGTACTCTATACAGTCTGGCAATATTTTTTTTAACTATTGCGAAAAATTATTTACGTTTAGTGTTATAAATTGCTTTTACCATACACTAAGAAAAATCATTACGACCAAAAAAGATTGAACTCCGATAAACCCGTCAAGCAACTTTTTATTAAAGGTCATCTAAACTTTTACAAATACACTGTTTCGATACCTTTAAATCATCTTCCTACTGTCACGCGTACAGGTTAAATTTGACCTTCATCAAGTCATTGTGTAATATGGCAAGGCGTAAGTTATCTGTGGCTGAACGTTGACAAGCAATTGGCATGGCAAATGCCGGTAGCAGTAATAGGAGCATAGATAACATTTTAATGTTAATCACACCGTCATTGTCAGACTTTTACAACGTCATGTTTACACAGGAACTGTAAATGATAGACCTAGGTCCGGAAGACCCCGTTTAACTACCCGTCGTGATGACAGACTGCTTATTCGTCGTGCTAAAGCCAGCCTATTTACTCCTGCCCCGCATCTTAGAAACTGCTGGCCTCCAGGTGGTCGTGTTATTGTTCGCATATTGACCCGTCGACTTCATAGAGGCAATTTAAGAGTGCTTCGTGTTGTCAAGAGACCTACCCTAACAGCCAGGTACCGTTTAGTCTGGTTTCCATGGGCTAATGACCATCGACGCTGGAACATTAGAAGCTGGCAAAAAAAAATCATTGGTCAGATGAGAGTCGGTTTCCGTTACGACGAGGAAACGGCAGAATACGAGTTTGACGGGAAAATAAAACCAAAACAACATTTGCCCATGACCAACGACTGCATAGGGTGCTGCTGATGTTACAGTATGCGTTGCTTCTCATACCGTTGTAAGCTGGATATGCATATTCTGCAGGGTAACATGATCGGAAAAACATACAGGGATTTGGTGCTTAGAAACATTATAGTCCATCATTTTGATAATCACCCACATGCGTCAAGAGCATTTTACATGGACGACAAGGACAAGGATTGTAACTGAGTACAAAGAGCAAGAAGCCATTGGCACTATCTTTTGGATCTCCATGTCTGAAGACATGAACCCTATTGAACATGTCTGGGATGCCATTGGCAGAAATCTCAATCGCAGAGATCCACCACTGCAAAAATCTTTGCGATTCAAAAGTAGCAAGTGTTGATGAATAGAATAGATTTCCTCAACTAAAGTAGGCTTGTACAGAGTATGAGACGCCGTGTTATGGAACTGTACCGGAAGAGAGGTGATTACACATCCTATTGGCTCAAATATTGACTTACTAAAGATTATTTGTACAGAATTTTATTGATATTGGATGATTAATTGTTTAAAAAAAAATAAAATCACAGTGAAACATAAAATGCGATTCTGATTTGTGTAATTTGCACTATTTCTATGAACGCCATATCTTACTGCATAGATCCTGCATAAGTCACCAAACTTAAGTTTATGGTTTGTTTATAGTATATATCAGCAAAATTGCTACATGAATGTTTTCTCTTTTTCGAGAATTCACTGATGCTATAAAAATAGGTAGTGTCTAAATTTTAGCGAACTGAATATAGATATAGGAAGATGTGGTATAAGTGCCAATGAGACAACTCTCCATCTAAGTCACAATTATAAAAGTAAACCATTATAGGTCAAGGTACGGTCTTCAACACGGAGCCCTGGCTTATACCGAACAGCAAGCTATAAAGGGCCCCAAAATATTTCTAGAGCAAAACCATTCAAACGGGAAAACCAACGGTCTAATCTATATAAAAAACGAGAAACTAGAAACACTTATGAACCACATAAACAAACGACAACTACTTAACATCAGATTCCTGACTTAGGACAGGTGTATACATGTTTATGAACTGTCTAAATCACATAGCCAACATTGCAATCAATTCACATACAAATAAATTGAACATCAACTTATTATACGTCATGTCCAAATGTTAAATTTGATTGTTCAATAAGAGGATGATATTTTACTTTATTGCATGTCATTGTTCTCTATTACCCTACACGGAGATGCTCAATCAATTGTACGGTTAATTCAATACAGATGATTGTTATGTACAAGCTAGGTTTTATCCATCAAAAAGGACGGTAGTTATGGCAGAAAAGAGAGTCTTTGTTTCTTTTGATATCAGTAATCTGTTTTTTAAATAAATAGCTTCAACTTGTGTTCTCCATTATAAAGCATTAAAAAAGCCGTATATTAACATTAACCAACAAACAAACAAACATAATTTTGATTGTTTGTCTGTCTGTTGGTGTTAACGTCTTTTTTTGAAACGACGTTGGCTCTTTCATGTCAACAGTTATTATGATTAAAGAAGCCGAGTTCCTGGACATAACCATAACCTTCGACAGGAACCATAAATTGTTGAAAATTCGTCAAAAAATATATATTTTGCATTAAAATGATTCTTGTATATCAATGGCAAAAATCTGTAAATAAAGTCATCATAGATATCAGGATTAAACTTGTGAACGCTAGACGAGCGTTTCGTCTACGAAAGACTCATCAGTGACGCTCGAATGAGAAAATTTACTTGCATGTCTCATCCTTTTATAGTGAAATACAAACTCTCTCTCTTTCATAAATTGTTGACATAGAGATATATCTCGCTTGTTTGTTATTTGATAGTAAAAGAAGGGCGAAAGATACCAGAGGGACAGTCAAACTCATAGATCAGATTAACATCAGATTCCTGACTTAGGACAGGTGTATACATGTATATGAACTGTCTAAATCACATAGCCAACATTGCAATCAATTCACATACAAATAAATTGAACATCAACTTATTATACGTCATGTCCAAATGTTAAATTTGATTGTTCAATAAGAGGATGATATTTTACTTTATTGCATGTCATTGTTCTCTATTACCCTACACGGAGATGCTCAATTAATTGTACGGTTAATTCAATACAGATGATTGTTATGTACAATCTAGGTTTTATCCATCAAAAAGGACGGTTTTATGGCAGAAAAGAGAGTCTTTGTTTCTTTTGATATCAGTAATCTGTTTTTTAAATAAATAGCTTCAACTTGTGTTCTCCATTATAAAGCATTAAAAAAGCCGTATATTAACATTAACCAACAAACAAACAAACATAATTTTGATTGTTTGTCTGTCTGTTGGTGTTAACGTCTTTTTTTGAAACGACGTTGGCTCTTTCATGTCAACAGTTATTATGATTAAAGAAGCCGAGTTCCTGGACATAACCATAACCTTCGACAGGAACCATAAATTGTTGAAAATTCGTCAAAAAATATATATTTTGCATTAAAATGATTCTTGTATATCAATGGCAAAAATCTGTAAATAAAGTCATCATAGATATCAGGATAAAACTTGTGAACGCTAGACGAGCGTTTCGTCTACGAAAGACTCATCAGTGACGCTCGAATGAGAAAATTTACTTGCATGTCTCATCCTTTTATAGTGAAATACAAACTCTCTCTCTTTCATAAATTGTTGACATAGAGATATATCTCGCTTGTTTGTTATTTGATAGTAAAAGAAGGGCGAAAGATACCAGAGGGACAGTCAAACTCATAGATCGAAAATCACCTGACAACGCCATGGCTAAAAATGAAAAAAGACAAACACAAATAATAGTACACAAGACACAACATAGAAAACTAAAGACTGAGCAACACGAACCCCACCAAAAACTCGGGGTGATCGCAGGTGGTCTGGAAGTTTAAGCAGATCCTGCTCCACATGTGGCACCCGTCGAGTTGCTCATGTTATTACAAACCCGGTAAATAGTCAAACATTTGGTCAACTTTCAGTAACAAATCTCTTACTTAAATGACAAGGTTAGTATACTTCTCCAACTGCTTACCTCTTATATTCCATGGTACTGTATCCTGTTGCGAGGTCGACATTTTTTCAATTTCCTTTATCACTTTCCTATGGCCTTCCTTTAACAATTCATGGGATTCCTTAACCTCTTTGTGTTCTTTCTGCAATATCTGATGGGAATTCTTTACTTTTTTATGGTTTTCTTGTAGTAATTCATTTGCTTTTCTAATATCACTATGTGAGCGTTTAAGACTTCTGAATGATTTCTTAACCTCTTTGTGGTCTTCTTGCAAACATTCTTGGGATTTTCTAACCTCTTTGTGCTTTTCCTGTAACAATTCATGGGATTTCTTAACCTGTGTGTGGTCTCTTTTTAACGATTCATGGGATTGCTTTACCCCTTTGTGGTCTTCCTGTAACAATTCATGGGATTTCCTAACCTCTTTGTGCTCTTCCTGTAACAATTCATGGGATTTCTTAACCTCTACGTGGTCTTTCTGTAAGAATTCGTTGGATTTCTTTAAATCTACGTGGTCTTCCTGTAAGAATTCATGGGATTTCTTTATCTCTACGTGGTCTTTCTGTAACAATTCCTGGGACTTCTTGACCTCTACATGGTCTTCCTGTAACAATTCATGGGATTTCTTAACCTCTACGTGGTCTTTCTGTAGGAATTCGTTGGATTTCTTTAAATCTACATGGTCTTCCTGTAAGAATTCATGGGATTTCTTTAAAACTACATGGTCTTCCTGTAACAAATCGTTGGATTTCTTTACTTTTTTATGGTTTATAAGCAGTAATTCATTGGATTTTTTCAAATCAATATGTGAGCGTTTTAGACTTATAATTGATTCTTTTAGCCCCTTAATTTCATCATTAGACCTTTTGATGTCTATTATCAATTCTTGGTTGGATTGATCTAGCTGTTTGGTTTTTAGGTGCTCACACTCTTCTTTCATTTGCTGTCCACCCAATCTATGAATGGCCTGAAAAAATATATAGAATAATATAAAACATACTGCCCTTGGATGACGGTGTTTAATATTGTAGTTAAACACACGATGGAAAAAAAATATTACCCAAGGGCAGCATGTTTTTTTTTATTATACTGAATGCCTAATAATTTTAGTGTGCACTATGTTATTAATTGTAAAAAAAATAAATTAAGATCATAGTTTACTAATAAGTGTGATTACTTTAATTGCGCGTAACGTAACGTTATACTTTAGTGTTCCGTATTTAACGTCACATTCTTGGTTTCTGTGATATGCTTTCTAATATGGATTTATATATACGTCCCACTGTTTTTTTTTTGTTGTTGTCTAAGTTATCTCAATAACAACAACAAAACGACGGAAACGAAGTGGAATAAGATTCGGCCATATTGGGTGTTAAATGTTTCGAATCGGCAAACCTTGGGCTCAAGCGAGTGTTTATTTTAGGCATTAACACCCGTTGCTAATATTATTACATGTTGCTAAGGGTGGGCGGGGCTTATAAAAGGTTAGTAGAAATTAACAAATGCCACGTGTCCAATGAAATGAATGGATGATATAAACAATTTGCATAAAGTATAATAATACTTTTTACTAACAATTCGAAGATGCAACAAATATTATAGCATTGCAGTTATTGTTTTGTTATTCCTCTTTTGACATAATTGATACCTGAAATGAAATGTGTAGATTCAAAAGGTTGTTTTGAGTATTTATTGTGTCATTTCAATAACTTCCTGGTTAAAATCGAAAATACAATTTGGACCATTTTCTCAGACAATCATCCATTATATACTTTTTAGAATCACTTAAAATTTAGCAGAAGTTGAAAGTTAAATGAATACCCTTTAGATATTCCCAAACAAATGATATCCAACAATTTGAAATCAAGACTCATTCAAATTGATTCTGTGTTTTTTTCCTAATTATTTTATTTTAGGTTTTACAAGAAATGCAAATAATTGAAAAAAAGTCATTGAAGAGCAAAAAAAAAAAAAAACCACAGTCAAATAAAGTCTTGTAGTTAAAGTACTGTTAACAGTTCAAGTTTATTCATGAGAGTTGTTTTTTTTTTTTAAAGAGGGAGATAACTCATAAGTCATTGACACACTGGAAACACCATGACAAAAAACATTTAAAAGACAAACAATATTCTAGAAAACACAAACATAGAAGTATTAACAACACGAACCTCACAAAACAAAACAACAATGATGATCCCAAATTCTCCTTAAGGCTCAATTAAAAGGCAATGTTGGGTTATGAATTGAATTTGAACTCTTAAACTAGTATCTATACCTCATATGGATCAATCATGTAACGTTTGATTTACATTCATCATCAAGTTTTGGAGAAGGCGTTCTCTTTAGCGATTAGATATATTCAAATAAAATTGAGAATGGAAATGGGGAATGTGTCAAAGAGCCAACAACCCGACCAAACAGCAGAAAGTTTATATCTTGTGTCGATACGTAAAACAAGAGTGCACACGCTGAAATGTCTCACCTGTTTTACTGACCACTGATTTTATGTTGAAAGTCTTAGTGATCAAAGTTTTTTTTTACTAAAAGCATTACAGAAATATAATATTTTAAAGATCTATGACAAGAGGTCAAGGTCAGATAAATCGTGTCAGACATACATTTTTGTACATATACATCTTGCGTTTTTTTTTCACCAAATTTAGTTGACCTACTGTGTATACTTGTGTGTAAAAACAGACGACAAAACACAAAAACTTAACATTGAGCAGGTCTTACCTGCCATATAGACATGTACACCTTACTATCATTCCATACGCCAAATATGGTTGACTTATTGCTTATAGTTCTTGAAAAACAGACAATGAACCATGAAAATGAGGTCAAGGTCAGATGATAAATGCCAGACACACTTGTATACCTTACAATTATTCAATACACCAAATATAATTGACCTATTGATTATAGTACATGAAAAACAGATTCAAACACAAAAACTTAACATTGACCAATGAACCATTTAAATGAGGTCAATGTCAGATGAAACCTGTCAGACTGACTACCCGTTACAATCATTCCATTGACCTACTGCTTATAGTATTTGAGAAACCGACCTAATCACGTAATTTTAACCTTTATCACTGATTCATGAAATGAGGTTGAGATAAAGTGAACTCTGTCTGCAGGACATGTAGACATTGCAAGGAACCCGTATACTTAAAATGGTTATCTTATTAATCATGATAGGTCAGAATTTCACCTGACAAAAAAACAAGCATTTATTTTTCAAGAAGTCGCTTAACCATGAAAATGAGATCAAGGACAATGGACATAATATTTGTGGAACTTTCGCAACATAAGGTATCTGCATACAAGAAATGAAGCATCCAGGTCTTCTACCTTTTGTAATTTAAAGCTTTATATTATTAATTTACAACACCCGCGGCGCTGTTGGATAGTCATACATATGTCTCTGATACTACACTTTTCGTTGCACCAGAGACAAAATCCATGAATAAGATATTAGAACAATGCAAAGGTTAACTTAGCATATCCCCACTCATATATCAAAATTTGTGAAAATGTAAAGTATGCGTCCGACAGACCCAAAATGTTGACAAATTACAACTTATCATTGTAAGGATGTAGGCCAAATATAACATGATTCTATTCCGTAGTACTAGAGAATATTGTGATAAATATTTTAAAATATAAATATCTTCAATATACTTAATTAATTAAAGTTTAGTAAAAATAGAGAAGGTGTCTGACAGATCAGAAATATGCTCGCAGATTATAACTCATCACTGTCAAACTGATAACCAAATATGAATTCATTCTTTTAATTTTGCAATACCTGATATATTACCGATGTTATTTCAACTGATCGTGCGGAGCTAACGTTTTAATTTGCATTAGAATATAGCAAAGTGCTCTCGTCCAATGTATTGTAGGATTTGGTGTTTCTTAATTATGAAGAATGAATGAAATCATGTTCTTAGTAAAGGATTAACCATTTGTTTAGGCTTTTTTTACAGTTCAAAACACAGAGTTAATATGAATGAGTTACAAATGCCCCGAAGCACATTCATCAGCTTAAAAGAATTTGTGATGAATACGGAATAAAAGTTAAATTTTGAAACAAACAATTAAATCAAATTAATATGAAGTTTACTGATGCAGTTACATTAATACCGTTTACTTTATATGAGAATGTTAATACATTCAAAATTATCCTATAACAAAAAAAAAACAATTTCAAAGCAATGCAAGAAAAAAAAAGATTGAATAATATATTAATCTTTTGAGCTAATTATACCATTCTAAAATCTCAGATCATTGGATAATGGAATTTAGTTAAACTTTTGAATATAATTTGTAAGCATTGTATTTTAACATGTTTAATATTTCCATGGCAAAAATTAGTAGTAAATGCAGTAGCGGATCCAGAATTTTTGATAAAAGAAGGGGGTTGCACTGCCTACTAAATGGGTGGTCGGCTCCATTTATGCTTCAGTGAATCCCTAAATTATCAACCAAAAGTTTTCCATAAAATAGGGGGCGGCGTCTTGCTTTCCTAAATCTTATGTAAAGGATTGTACTAACAACGGATGTAAAATAAGATTAAGCTTTTGAATTTAATGATTTGAACTGCACATAAACAAAAAAAAATATTCCTCGCTAAAATATTACATGATTTACATTCATACTCACAATCAGGAAACTTTTCTTACCATTTCATTGTACTGTTGTGTCATCTAATGTCTAAATCACAATCTTTTATATTTTCCGAAATTAAAAGAAAGTCCTTACATCACTAAAACTAATCCATACATGAAATAGCTATAAAGGAGTTCATGCATTAATTGCAAACATTGACAATGAAACTAATTTTTAAATACGCCCAATCAAGTCTTAGAGATAATTTATCCTTGAGCACTTTAAAATATTCTAAGTTTGTAAGAGAATGATAATCCCTTTCTTCATGATAAGAACTTGCTAACGCTCGTACTTAATCATGAAGAAAAGGATTATCATTCTCTTACATATACTAAGGACAGTCTATTTGAAAATGTGAAAATGTGAATGATAAGTATGATGGCCGTTATAATTATAATTGATTTCTAATCACCTATCAGTGTCACCACACCGATATACACATGCACTGAGTGCATGATATGGGACGAATTACTGGACACTATATTGATAAATTTATCCCGAAACATCTGTCTATAGATGTACTGGTCTAAAATAAGCGAACCGGTTAAACCTCGCCCAGTCAAGTGAAACAAATCAAGAAATTATTGTTGGTGAAATCATTATGGAACAAAAGGACAAACAGACAGATTGACAAGATGAATGCAATATAACCAACGCTCTTTGATTTATATTTCAACATTGAGATATCATATGGATATTCTACAATAATTCTTATATGATTTGCATATTAGGGAATACGTTGATATGATTGGTCGAGAGGACTTCCGGTAGTTGATCTTGACGTTGTTTATTATTCGATAGACGACGTTGACCGAACTTCTTTTCGTAACCAATGTAAACACGATGGCGGCGATAATAACACCGACGTTAACAAAATTTGTTTCTCTGCACAGTTATCTTTAAATAAAATAACAAACACAAAAACATTCATTTGAATGATAATAAGAGTTTTTGTAGTTTATTTTTTATCAGACAGAAATTTTCATGGAGTACATATTTTGTCAGCCAACAAATATATTCATGCGCCAGGCCTATTCAATGACACAAATATACAATTTACGGGTGATAGAGGTTACGAGTATGAAAAAATAAATTCCTTATCTCCAATTTTAAAAGAATTATCAGGATAAAACGCCTTTTTAAAGGATTTATTGGTGTATAAACTGTACCAAGTCACTCACAAACATATCATAAAAGTCTTTCGGACTTTTATTTGTTTGTGAGTGAATTGGTCGAGTTTATACACCAATGCATTCCTTTAAAAAGGCGTTGAATCATATAATACTTTTCTGGCAGTTTCCGATTATTAGTTTTGTCATGATGTGGCAGCTATTTTAGTGGTAAAAATTCTTACAATAAATACCGGGTAAAATCATTTACTTGTTTTATCATGTAAAATCTGTATTGTTAACAAAAGTCAGCATATTGGCTGCTAACAATATAAAAGAAAACATTTTTGCGGTAAAGGTAAATATTATTTCTTAAGTTTACTAGATATAATATCACAGAATTTGTAAAAAGTATTTCCGTTCTCCATTTTTACTGTATACCTTACAACAAAATTATTTTCATTATACTATGTACACTATTCTTTTTTGCGGTATTGTGTTCAAGGTTATTGTTGTTTTTCTGAAATTGTTTAACATCTCACAGCGGTATAATACTGTTGCCTTTATTTATTTACCTCTTATTTTATTGATTTTGTATTTACACTATGTTTACTTGTGTTAATATGTATTTTGATTGAGTTAAGCCATTTCAAATGATATTTTGTGGTGGGTCTTTCTATGTTGTGTTGCTACACTATTGTTTCCGGTAGGTAAGGGCGATGGTTGGTACCTATTTTTAAACGTTCAAACAAATTGTGACTTGGATGGAGAGTTGTCTCATTGGCACTCATACCATATCTTCTTATATCTACAATGTGTTTACGTTAAATTTTATTAGAATATATTATGACTAGTAATCATGTTCACATATCTTCACACATCGATGTCAATATAATGGAATTTGATGTGACTGTCATACAAGTGAGAGGTTAAGCTAGCTATGAAACCAGGTATAATTAAAGAGTCGTTTGGTAAATCTGAGTGCAAATATATTTGATGCAAGTCATTAAAAGTCTCTTCACTTTTGTTGGTGGATTTAACATACATAAATAAAATACTAAAATAAGAAAGCAATAAATGAGGTGGTTAAATTTGATATATGTTTTTTTTGTACTTCTTTGTTTGATATTTGTTTGTTTTTATTGCGATTAAGATTGTAACACAATGTTGACTGCTGTACCCTTAATTCTAACTAGTTTACCCATTACGTCTGTTTGTTTTGTTCACGCATCGTTGTCAATATAATGAAATTTGATGCGACTGTCGTACAATGAGAGGTTTAGCGCTATAAAAATAGGTTCAATCCACCTTTTTCTACATAAGAAAATGCCTGTACCAAGTCAGGATTATAACAGTTTTAATCCATTCGTTTGATGTGTTTGAGCTTTTGATTTTGCCATTTGATTAGGGACTTTCCTTTTTTAATTTTCCTCGGAGTTCAGTATATTTGTGATTTTACTTGTGAAATGAATATTGATATACATTTATACATACACCAGTTATATCAGTCCATGCTGTGGTGAAGAATGCAGTGTCTACTTTGCAATTCTGCAGATGAGCTAGTTCATTTCTGTAATGTTTTATTCTTGCTAAATCTGCAGCTTGTGTGGTTTCCAAGTCAGATGGTAATTTGTCAAATCCACAAAGAGGAGGGTTCATGGGAGTCAAATTCCTCATTAATAATATCATTAAAGTCACATCAAACGATTTAGAATCTGGAACATCTGGAAAAAAATCAGTTACTTTAAGTTACTTCAAAAGATTAAGAATTTGGAAAATCTTTAAAAAAAAACCACAGATGCTAAAAGTCATATCAAAAGATTGGAATCTAGAACATCTAGATAATACATCGGATATTAAATGTTGCATTAAAAGTTTTTCAATCAGGATAGTTTAAAAAAATACTTCAGATTTTAAATGTCAGATCAAAAGTGTTTCAATCTGAAACATCTGAAAATAAATCAAGATACTAATAGTCACATCAAAGGCTTTAGAATATGGAACATCTAAACTAGAGGCTCTAAAGAGCCTGTGTCACTCACCTTGGTCTATGTGCATATTAAGCAAAGGACACACATGGATTCATGACACAATTGTGTTTTGGCGATTGTGATGTGTTTGTAGATCTTACTTTACCGAAAATTCTTGCTGCTTACAATTATCTTTATTTATAATGAACTTGGCCCAGTAGTTTCAAATAAAAATATTTTGTAAACATTTACAAACATTTACAAAATTTATGAAAAATGTTAAAATTTACTATAAAGGGCAATAACTCCTTAAGGGGTAAATTGACCATTTTGGTCGTGTTGACTTTTTTGTAGATCTTACTTTGCTGTACATTATTGCTGTTTACAGTTTATCTCTATCTATAATATTTAAAGATAATAACCAAAAACTGCAAAATGTCTTGAAATTACCAATTCAGGGGTAGCAACCAAACAACAGGCTGCCTAATTGGTCTGACAATTTCAGGACAGATAGATTTTGACCATTTGAACAATTTTACCTCGTCAGATATGCTCTAAATGCTTTGGTTTCAGAGATATAAGCCAAAAACTACATTTACCCCTATATACTATATTTAGCCATGTCGGCCATTTTTGTACGAAGGCGGGGTCATCGGACATATTTTTAAAATTAGATACCCTAATGATGATTGTGGCCAAGTTAAGTTTAATTTGTCTGAGTAGTTACAGAGGAGAAGATTTATGTAAAATATTTACGTAAAAATTGTTAAAAAATGACGATAAAGGGCAATAACTCCTTACGGGATCAACTGACAAGTTTGATCATGTTGACTTATTTGTAGATCCTACTTTGCTGATCATTATTGCTCTTACACTTTATCTCTATATATAATAATATTCAAGATAATTAACAAAAAAGGCAAAATTTCCTTAAAATTACCAATTCAGGGGCAGCAACCCAGCAACGGGTTGTCTAATTCATCTGAAAATTTCAGCCCAGATAGATCTTAACCGGATTAACATTTTTACTCCTTGTCAGATTTGCTGTAAATGCTTTAATTTCAGAGATATAAGTCAAAAACTGCTTTGAGCCCTGTGTTTAATTTTTAGCCATGTCAGCCATCTTGGTTGGCGAGTGGGGTCATCGGACACATTTTTAAAACAAAATACGCTAGTGATGATTGTGGCTAAGTTTGGTTAAATTTGGCCTTGTAGTTTCAGAGGAGAAGATTTTGGAAAAAGTTAACGGACGACGGATGCCAAGTGATGAGAAAAACTCGCTGTAAATACAAAATTTAGTCCTGGTATCTATGATGAGTTTATTTACAACCACTGGGTCGATGCCACTGCTGGTGGAGTTTTAATTCCCCGAGGGTATCACCAGCCCAGTAGTCAGCACTTCTGTGCTGACATGAATTATCATTGACATGGTCCTATTTATAAATTTACTGTTTACAAAACTTTCGAATTTTTGAAATACTAAGGCTTTTCTACCTCAGGAATAGATTACCTTAGCTGTATTTGGAAAAACGTTTAGGATTTTTGGTACTCAATGCTCTTCAACTTCGTACAATATTTGGCTTTTTAACTTTTTTAGATTCGAGCGTCACTGATGAGTCTTTTGTAGACGAAACGCGCGTCTGGCGTAAATACAAAATTTAGTCCATTTATCTATGATGAGTTTATTTGGCCCTTTGGGCCAGGTGAGCTAAAAATACATCAAAAACTAAAAGTCGCTTAAAAAGTTTTAGAATCTTGAACATCTAGAAAAGAAATCAGATACTGAAAGTGACATGAAAAGTTTTAGAATTTGAAACATCTATTAAACACATAAGATATTAAAGTCATATCAACAGTTTTAGAATTTGGTACATTTGGAAAATACATCAAAGACTTAAAGTCACATAAAATATTGTAGTCTTCAACATCGTAAATATAAATCAGATACATAAAGTCGCATCATAGTTTTATAATCTGGAACATTTGGACAGTACTGGTACATCAAATACTAAAAGTCACATGGAAAATAGATGGGCAATGCATACCTGTGTAAATGAGTGGACCGTTTCAAGTACTATTCTTGTGTTTATAAAAATTAGAAGATTTTTTATGATTGCCAATGAAACAACTCACCACAAGAGATCAAATGACACAGAAATTACGAACTACAGGTCACCATATGGCCTTCAACAATGACTAAAACCCATTAATTGTCCTATAATGTCTTCCGTTTAACATGTTTTGGAGTAAAAAATCTCACTATAAAGAACAGCTGACCAGCAAATAAACACCTCACTTACTAAAAGACACATTAAAAAGTTTACAATCTAGAAATAGATTTGGTATGTTAAATTTTTTTTTAAAGTTTTGACAAAATATTTATTTTGACCTGTTTACAAAAATATGAAAAATTTCTAGAAATTTGAACCGTTCAATTAACAGGAATAATTTGGTTGGCTATATAGCAATTTGACTAACACTAATTTTGATCGTTGAAAAACCTGATTTCTCCTTATTAATAATATGTGATTAAAACACTCTGCTGATTTTTAAGAGTTAACTCCCTTAGGTGTTCTGTACCCCCTTAAAGTCACATCATAGTTTTAGAATCTCGAACATTTAGGAAATACATTTGATACTAAAAGTCACATGGACAGTACACTGACAACAGAGGTTGATTTCAACGGTGCTGATGAGTGAACTGTATAGTTGTTTGTTTATTTAAGCACTCATGTTGAAACAAAAACAAAAAGAAATCTCAAAATCTAGGTAAGTTTTCAATCTTCTGAGACATAACATACATTTGAAATTTAATGAACTAGTTCTTACCATGCCTTAGAATATAACCAGATGCACAAGTTTGTCCATACGTAGATTAAATATTGTCAGTGTAAGCACGGCCATATTGTTTTTCAATTCTTTCTGATTAACATAAACGCTTGACTTAAACATGTTAAATATCAAAAACATCGTATACGCACAGTTTAACTTTTCAACATAACCATTACAAATAATGTATAGTTCTATTTGTTATTACAGTAAAGGGCATTATTGGATATCTGATCAACTATGCAAAACTTTTCATAACGTATTACAACAAGTAGAAGTTTGCAACAACTATATTTAGGTATATTTAAAAAACAAAATAATAAAATTGATTCACACAGTATTGAAAATTGATCTGTCACATATTGATAACCTTATGGTTGGTCTTTCATGTTCATAAGATGGTTTTGTGATGTATGCAAGTTAATTTATTATTTCTATATACCTTTCAAACAATCCTATTATCGAAAATTCTGAATTAATATAAGGAATCTATTGAGAAAAGCCAAATATTTATTAAAATTATAAAAGATCTTTTTTTACTTTTGTCAGACAAATCTTCCGATTAAATTCATTCAAAATTGTTGTGAATATGACATGATTTACATTTTGAAAAATGTCATAGAATCAAAGAAAAACATAGCACCATAGTCCTTTTATCAGGTTTGTCAATTTATTATACTATATACTAAGTAAGTAATTTTTAAATTTCATACGCCTTCATATCAAATTTTTTTCTTGCTTCTTTTTAAGCCACTGACCAGTGATTCAAGTGAAAATTTAAAAGCATATTCAGGACAATAACTCATGTAGATATATAAATGTAGACCATTCTTTGTACTAAACTAACACACTGAGCCGGATTGTTTTCAAACACTTGTTCATAATGCAAGGTAAGAGTACATAGGTAGACATGTCACCCTACCCAAACAGTATTTGATCAAACCAACCAAGCCTGTGTTCGTACTGCAAAATGTCATGTGCTTACCGTACAAGCAGCAAATACAGATTTTCATGTCTGGTTTTACTCTTCTGCGGATTAACCCATGACCACTCACAGGATAATATTTGCATTGTATTATAGACATCTTTGACACATAAGTTTTGGTACGAACAACATACAGATCACAAGCTAGGGTTGTATGTACATATTAACTTTAAATCTTAAAAAGGGCATTTGTTTCATTTCTGCACTTACCAGGAGATTTTGTAAACAAAAGGTTCCACTGCGATTGGTTGATTATGTGTTTCTTCTTCAATTCAAGCAATTTGTTATATTCTTTCTTTATTGTTGCATTTAAACATGCTGGAGCAAATTCACTATCAAAAAAAGTTCTAGCTGCACGAGGAGAAATTCCCGTTAATAACAAACTCATTCGAACATAGTTTTCTTCCTCTACAGAAAGAGATGCCATAGTAATGTCTTCTTTATTCTTTCAAATTATGGACATGATTCTATCAAGCAGAATATTGCAATTAAAACGGTCAAAATCATGTATAAGTTACATGACAAAATTCTTGGCTTTCAAGCTGGCACAAATCTTGGTTGTTGTGCCTCTTATGGAGTAAATCACTATATAATCTGATCTATTATTTACTGAAAAAAAAGACAAAAACAATTAAAATTTCTGAAATTGAATTAAAAGAAACAGTTTTAGGTTACACATACGACTTTGGCAAATATGGCCTTGTTTAAACTTTTTTGTTCATATATTTGCAAAATTATGCTGAAAATATACCGTACAGCCCTATATTTTGATCTTTAAAAAAAAAGTAGTGCGTACGAGTTTTCAATTCTAGGATATAGTTTTTTTCCAAACGTCATAGTAAAAGTTTTAGCCGTAAAAGAAGTTACAAATTTACTGGATGTCTTCGGGATAGTTCCTTAACTTATTTATTATCTTCTTTTACCAGACTAAAAATGTTGC